GTTCAGGGTCAATACCGCCATCACCAGCCGTGACTGTTTCGAAGTACTTGAAATGGTCCATTACTTCTTTCGTAGTTCCATCCTATAATATCCTCAGGTTAACGGTTGCCGTAGTGCCCAATCTTTGTCTTCTTGCCGTTGACTTGTGGCTACATTCGCACAGTCGTGTTTGGCACGTTTTTATTGAGTGTCGGTAGAGCCGCTTGCAGAATCGTTCTGTGGCACGATGTCCAGTCGTGAAGATCCATTATAAATGCCTCCGGGTATATCGAGCTGCGTCGCGCACTAACGGTCGGTTCCTCGTTGCTTTATTAAAACGATACACTTTCGCATAACGTAGTCCGCCATGATGATGAATAACAGAGGAGAGCATCTTACCTTGACAAACTTCACTGATGATTTTGAACTAGTCTGACAGTGGTCTTTCAGTTCGAATGGCGGATTTTGTTTTTTGACACAAACGTTCTATCAGGTTTACCATCGACTATGAAATTCTATGTCGAATAGTATGCCACATTGTCTAGCAATGAACTGAATCAGAGGCTGTGCGGAAGTCCACTGGCGTTCCCTGCCAGGGTTGTTGGTAGCTCCTGCACTGCTCGGTGATCCGTTCCAGTCCAAAGATGTTGTTCTTACGCAAATTGTTATCTATGACAGTCTCATTGCTTATCTTCATCTTCCACCGCCGCTTCTCCTTTCGGGTCGCGGAGGCAGATGCATCAGGCAGTGCTTCCAACGTTCCCTCTCCTGTACCAGTCTCTGAGCTTCGGCAGAAGAAAGCTGGAGTCTGGAACAGACTCCTTCCATATATTTGTACCTGGTTATTCTTGGCCGTCCCATCGGTCTTCTCCTTTCTTTCTCTAAACATTCGTAACACGTGCCGAAACCGTCGCATCTCTTTGCTTATTCACATCTAAACATCTAGGCCTTCTTCAGTCATCCAAATATGGTCGGTGCTAATACCTTCTCCAGCACATCCAGGAGGGTGATTCTTTAAAAGTTGGTACAATCGGCGTCGATTTCTGATCTTGAAAATCAGAATGATCACACCTTTCTTCCAGATAAGTTGAAAAGGTTTCTGTTATAAAATCTTATTTGTACCGGCAGAATTCTGAGTCCGGTAGAGTCGTATCGCCTCTCGAAATTTTTCGGATCGATAATGGATGCATTTAACTTCTAGATCTTGTTCAGTGTCCGCATCCTCTTCGAAATTTACCGCCTGCTGTGAGGACAGATACATTGAAGAACTGTGCGATGTGCTTCGCTACTGTTTTCGATTTTAAGTGTCTTGCAGCATCCCTTTGTGTTTGCTGTGTAACAAGCTGCGGTAGGCTTTTTCGCTAGCTCCAGTGACATATTCTTCTAGCAGTACAACCGCTTTCACTTAACATCTTTCCTTTCGTTGTTTGCCTTTTATAATCGCAGCGCTTCGAGATACAGCCACCGCTGTCTGCCTCTGCGATAGTTCCTTTGATGCCTTTCACAAGGAAGCGCTCGTTTTTCATTTCGGTGTCAGGGTCGTGCAATGACATCTTTGCCGCCTATTATTTTCTGGCGAAGATTCAGAGTTTATGCTGTGTTTCAGAGTAGTTTCGTTCTTGCTCTTGCGAAAGGCAATAATCTTAGCAGCCGCAACGATATCTTCTTTAAGGCAATTATGCAGCACTTATGGGTCTTTGGAGGTTTTTTTTGTCCATAACAGCGAATCTGCTGTTTATCTCCATCTAAAACTCCTCGAAAGTGTGAGGATATTTAGGCTTTCTTCAAAAGTGATTGTTTCTCCCTGTACAAGTTGTTCGACCAGCTTTTGTCAATCGAAGGCGGAAATTTGCGGCATGCGATGACCTTTGTCATTGACTTATTACCACCGTGTTGATCTAATACTGGCAGGGGGACAACTGTCAGAATCGCTCTCCCCTTTTAGGAACGGGTTAGTCATCATAGTTAATCAGTTTATACTGCTGCAGAGCAGACGCGTAAGATCACTGTTGTATTTGGTGCTTCACTCTGTTCTGTCTCTCCGTCAACGACAGTTTTGATATTTTTGCCTTATAGACAAGTACTTGGAAAGTAATGTTCAGCATGAATGTCTGCAGATAGGACAGACACATTTTGACCGAATTTGACAATAAAATGATAGAAAGGCCTTTTTTAGAAAAAGATATTTAAGTTAT